CCAGTACAGCCACTGAGACAAATCAAAAAGCACACACACATACACACACCTTCACTTTCTTTTGCGTTAATTTTTGCTCAATTTGCGCTATTATTTTCGCTGCTTCCGCGTTAATTGCATCCTCCGATGCCGCCACACTCGTTCGGACATTCTTCTCGATCAGGTATGTCGGCGGTCGTCCATACCCACTCGATTCGATTATTTTCTCCCTGTTTTCGTAACTTACTTCTTCTTTTTGCATTCTTTCATGAGGTTTTCTGTGCGAGTTCCTAGTTGACGTCGACTCATCTTCGTGTTTTCTGGTCATTATTGTAACACCTTCAGACGGGGATATTTTGCTGGAAGCTTGCGCTTTTAATGCTCGCGGTGTCCACGGATCCACTTGCGAACTGCCCGCACTGACCGAGAAATCAACCGGTAACTCGGCACCCGGTCGCATACGTCCGGCGGTTTTGCCATTGCCATTATTACCCTTCCAATTCGGTTTATACTGCTGAAACCGATAACATTGAGATATGAACCTCTGATGTGATCATTCGCCAACAATTCATTATTATCATTATTGTTATTATTATTATTAATCATCATTATTATTTATTATTGTTGTTGTTATTATTATGCAAAGAACACAAACCATTCGGTTGTTATTATTATAATTATTATTATTGTTGCCAGTCGTCTTTCTACCATTTCCACCAGAAGTTTTCAACGCTGAATCAAAACTATCAACAAGTCGATGGGAATTATTGGAGAGCTCGCCTCGGGCTCGCATACCATAAGTTAAATTTATTAGAACCGACGCACTCAATCTTGCTCCACTCGCACGTTCACTTCTGCAAATTCCATCAATTCACACTGCAAAACTCAAAAACAAACCTTCAATTCTTTGTGAGCATTCTTCGATCTCAAAACTTCTTTAAGAGTATTCAAAATTTATCTCAAAGTATTATTCTTCTATCTCAAAACTCTCAAAACCAAAACTCTTCGAGAGTCATTTTCAATTCCATACATCACTCTCAACTACTGATCACAACAAA